TATTGGAAGTGAGATATTGAATAGTCTCTGACTACTATTTTGAGTTGTCTATTTCTCCCTTCAAACCTTGCAGTTTTTGCTTCATGTGTTTTGGAGCTTTGTTTTTAGGTGTATATGTGTTTATAATTGTTATATTTTCCTGATGGATTGACCCATAAAATGCCCCTCTTTATGTCTAGTAACATTTTTTGCTTCAAAGTCTATTTTATTTGATGTTAGTATAGCCACTCCAACTTTTTTGAAACTGCTATTTATATGATACAACTTTTCCATCCTTTTACTTTAAATCTATTTATAGCCTAGATCTAAAATATGTCTCCTGTAGATAGCATATAGGAGGAAATTGCTTTTTTTGCCTATATAACAAACACTTACTTTAGATTATATTGTTTAATCCATTTACATTTAGTGTTATTATAATATAGTTAGATTTATATCTGCCATTTTATTTTTTTGTTTTCTAAATATCTCATTTAAATTTTTTTAATGTTTATTTATTTTTGAGAGAGAGACAGAGAGATACAGAGTATAAGTGGGGGAGGGGCAGAGAGAAGGAGACATGGAATCTGAAGCAGGGTCCAGGCTCTGAGCTGTCAGCACAGAGCCTGACGTGGGGCTTGAACCCAACGAGCTGTGAGATCATGACCTGAGCTGAAGTCAGATGCTTAACCAACTGAGCCACCCAGGTTCCTCTAAATATCTAATTTTTAACCTACTCCTTCTTTACTATTTTCTGCATTAAGTGAATATTCTCTAATGTGGCATTTCAATTTCCTTAGTGATTTTTTTCATAATAACTTTTGAGTTATTTCCTTATTGATTGCCCTAGGGCTTACTACAAACATATTTTGTTTTCCTGGGTACAATAGTCCACCCTCCGCCATGGAGATATGTCCCAAGACCCTCAGTGGATACCTGAAACCACATACAGTACCAAACCTTAGTCATACTAATTTTTTCCTCTATATGCATACATGTATATGATAAAGTTTAATTTATACAGTAGACACAGTAAGAAATTAACAAAAATAACTAATAATGAAACAAAAATTATAGCAATATACTATAATAAAGGTTATGTGAATGTGGTCTCTCTCAAAATATCTTATTGTACTGTACTTAGCCTTCCTCTTGTGATGATGCGAGATGATAAAATGCCCACATGATGAGATGAAATGAGGTGAATGACATAAACATTGTGACATAGCATTATGTTACCATTGACCTTTTGATAATACATCATGGGTAACTGAAACCACAGAAAAGGAAATGCAGATAAGTGGGGGACTGCTACATATAAAAGCTTATTTTTGTATAACTTTTAAAATCATGGTAAAAAATCATGTAACGTAAATTTACAATCTTAACCATTTTTTAAAAAATGTTTTATTTATTTTTGAAAGAGAGCAAGTGTGAGCAGGGGAGGGGCAGAGAGAGAGGAGGACAAAAGATCCAAAGCACGCTCTGCATTGACAGTAGTGAGCCTAATGTGGGGCCTGAACACACAAACCATGAGGTCAACCTGAGCTGAAGTCGGACACTCAACTGACTGAGCCATCCAGGTGTCCCTCAGTCTTAACCATTTTTAAGTGTATGGTTCAGTAGTCTTAAGTATATTCACATTGTTGGGGAATGAACTTTTCCATCTTGCAAAACATAAATTCTAAACCCATTACACAACACCTCCCCATTTTCCCTAGCCCCTCAACCACCATTCTACTTTCTATTTCTATGAACTTGACTGTTTTACAGACCTTCTATAATTGGAGTCATACAGTCTTTGTTTTTTTATGACTGGCTTATTTCACTTAGCACAATGTCTTCAAGTTTCATACAGGTTATAGCATATGAAAAAATGTCTTCCTTTTTTTCTTCTATTGGAACACCACATAAAAAGTATTAGTCCTGAATTTTTTCATTAGAAAAATAGCAGAGGGTGATAGTATAGGAAATCTGATGACTCAAAAAAAAAAAAAAAGGGGTGAGCTCATGGGTTGAAGATGAGGGCAACTAAAATACTAAATGAATGATGAAAGAACTTAAACTTCTATTAATATCATTAGATTACAAAAGGAGGACATATGAAAAAAGAGCTCAGGGTGCCTGGGTGGCTCAGTTAGTAAAGCATCCGACTTCAGCTCAGCTCATGATCTCACTGTTTGTGGGTTTGAGCCCTGCATCAGGCTCTGTGCTGACAGCTCAGAGCCTGGAGCCTCCTTCAGATTCTGTGTCTCCCTCTCTCTCTGCCCCTCCCCCGCTCATGCTCTGTCTGTCTCCTTCAAAAATAAATAATGTCAATTTGTTTAATTTAACTTTTCATATAACTTTCAAAAATGTTGCCAATATTACATGTCATAAGAATTATTACGTGGTATTTTAAATCCTTACATTTCTGTTATTTCTTATAATATACTTTAATATACAATAAGTGGATTGCTCATTTTTTATTGTGTTTTAGGAATATTTTGTATGGTTTAGATATGAATTTTTTTGCAAATTTTGTATCAAATGTGTGTTTAGCAAATATTTTCTTATAATCTGTTGTCTGTTTTTTCATTCTCTTAGCACTACTCTGTCTTCCACAGAGTAGATATTTATAATGTCAGTAAGTCCCGTTTATCCATTTTGTTTCATGGATTGTTTTGTAGTGTATATAAAAATATATCACCAAACCTGAGGTCTCTTAGATTTTCACCTGTTATCTTCTAGAAGTTTCTTAGTTTGCGATTTTGCATTTAGGTCTATGATCCACTTTGAGTTAATTTTTGTGAAAAGTGTAAATTCTATGTCTAGATTCATTTGTTTTGCATGTTTGTCCTAGCATTATTTGTTGAAAAATCATCTTTTCTTCATTAAATTGCTTTTGCCCTTTTGTCAAAAACAGGTTGACTGTATTTGTGTGGGTTTCTGAATCTGTTCTAAAGACAGTTAAAGACATTGATCTATGTCTTTATGTGCTAATACATACTGTCAAAAATCAATTGACCATGGATGTGTGTAGTTATATCTAGGCCCTCAATTCTATTTATTTTTCTATATACCTATCCTTAAAGCAGCACCACACTGTTCTCTTTTATGTAGTTGTGTAGTAAGTTTATAAATCACAAAGTGTGAGTCATCCAACTTTGTTCTTTTTCAACATTGCTTTGCTATTCAAGATGCTTATTTCTTTATGAATTTGAGAATTGGTTTTTTCATTTCTGTAAAATGGCTGTTGGAATTTTGATAGCGATTGCATTGAACCTGTATATGGCTTTGAGTAATATTGCCATCTTAAGAACATTAAGTCTTCCATAGCATGAACATGGAATGTCTTTCCATTTATTTCAGTCTACTTCAATTCTTGCAACAATGTTTTGCAGATTTCAACCTACAATTTCTTTATCTCTTTCTTAAGATTGTTCCTAGTGTTTTACTCTTTTGTATGCTATTGGAAATGGAATTTCTTAATTTCCTTTTCCATTGCTGCTGTACAGAAACACAAGTGATTTTTCAGTATTGATCTCGTATCTTAAAAATTAACCTAATTCATATACTAGGGCTATTTGCTAGTATTTTATTAAGGATTTTTATAACTATACTAATAATTTTCATCTGTAGTTTTTCTTTGTGATGTCTTTTTTGTTGTTGTTTGTTGTCTCTTCTTAATAAGGAGAATGCTGGCATAATAATGAATGAAATGTTCTCTCCACTATTTTATGGAAGAGTTTGGAAAGATTGATGTTAATTATCCTTTTAAATATTTGGTTGAATTTATGAGTAAAGCCATCTGATCCTAGGCTTTTCTTTGTTGAGGGGTTTTTCATTACTGATTTAACCTCTGTCTGTTATGGATCTGTTGAGATTTTCTATTCTTGAGTTTAGGTAATTTATGTGTTTCTTGGTATTGTTTGACATTTATTGTCGGTGTATTTGTCTTTTACCTTACATGAGAAATAAAAAGAGGAGTTACTAACACAAAATACAGTGATACTGGTTTTTATATTTACCTGTGTAGTTATCTTTACTGGTATTCCTTATTTCTTAATATGGCTTCAAGTTACTGTCTAATGTCTAGTGCCCTTCCTTTTCAGGCTAAAGAAGGCCTTTTAGAATTTCTTATAGGTCAGGTCTACACTGACTTAGCTTGACTAAACTTTGGTCAGGCCTCTCTTCCCTTCACAAGCCCTGAATTTTGTTTTGTCCCAGGTCTGAGCCTGAACAGCTCCCTGAACATGCACCCTGAACAGCTCATCCCAAGGTTGGCTGACCACAGTGGGAACATTTCATGTCAGACTACCCCATCGTGCTTTTTGTTCACCTCCCCAACTCACTTGCCCAGTTTTCTCTCAAAAATTTCTGCTGAGCGTTTTCCATCCTCCCTATAAAAGAAAAACCTTTTTCTAAAGTTTATTTCCTTATTTAAGTAATCTCTACACCCAACATTTGGCTTGAACTCACAACCCTGAGATCAAGAGTCACATGCTCCCCCAACTGAGACAGCCAGTTGCCCCTTTTTTCTATTCAATTTTGAGATGCTTTCAGATTGAAGTCAGAGCATTGTTCCTATTGCAATAGTCTTTTTGAAATAAGTTTCTCCTTACCGAAGTCTGGATTTATTTTTATTTGATACTTGAAGGGTCCAGCGCTTATCTTCCTCACTGCTGAGAGAAATGGTATTATTTTATATATTTTTTACTATTATTTTTATTTCATTGCTAGCATTTCCTAGTATTTAATTCGTTTGGCTTTCTACTATTCAAGGTAACTTTCCTATTTATGTTAATAACATACATCGATTTACATTTTTGCCTCCTTTGGTAGCTTGGTGTTCAAAAGGCTTTAAGACTTTTTCTCTGAGGTACTGAAAAAATACAGGGCTGCATACAGAAGTGACAACCACCTGCCACAATCTCTGAATTGCTAAAGAAACATCAACGTTTTCAAAATTCTCCAGGTCCTTAGCGAGCGGACTTGTGGGAAATGGAGTCCGGAAGTTTGAGAGTCCGCCGCGCGTGGTCATGGGAACGGGTCTTCTGCGGCTCCTTCTGCGCATGGGCAGAACTTCGCAGGCCCTTCCAGGTTCTCCCGCTTACGGTGAGAGACGGTGCGGAACCTCCACGATCCTGCAGGTCTGCTTGCCGCTCTGGGAGCTGGTGCGGCCCAAGTGGGAGGGTTGGCGAGGCCAGAGGGTTGGAGAGCTCCCAAAGGATCCCTGAGCGGCTCCAGGGAGCGTTGGTGCCTAGCGTGGGGAAGAGGCCCGGGAACTCCGGCGGGACCCTCGGCTGTTGTACCCGAGAGACTGGGTGGGGGAGGCTTCTGCCGGGTGGAGGGACTCCGGGACCGGAGAGTTTGTGTTAGGGGGAGGGGCCGGCGTGGGATGCGGGGATGCGGGGATGCGGGGACCAGGTACCCCGGGGAAGATGCACATTCCGCGTGGATCCCGGGGCGTGGCTTGTGCGGCCGCGGGAGGAGCGTCCGGTGCGCATGCGTGGTGGGTGCGCTCAGCCGCAGAGAGAGGGGGCCCGGGTTAAGCGGGTGTTTTGATGCAGGGCAGCACCGGGTATAAAAGAGTCATCTGGGAAAAATAACCTACCTGAGACTTTACGTCTGTAAAACTGAAGGTATTCATAACACCTGCCTCCTGGAGTTGTTCAGAGGCCTAGCAGTAAATGTTAGTGACTGTTAACAGACTTCTTATTCGTTACTTTATGCTCAGTTAGGTGGGTATAGCTCTCCCTGCTGTAACAAATTGGAAAACTGAGACCGAGAGGAAAGTTATATGCCCGAAGTCACAACATTAGCAGATAAACTAGAAGACAATTTTAGTTGTTTCTCCAAATGTCATGGTCTTTGCAATTTACTATCTTGGTTATAAAAGCCAGCACTGCATCCTGCACAACGCTTTGCAGAAGTAATTTGGCATGTGAAGAAACAATTTGAACGATTGAATCTTACCATGGCAGTTCTGTTTGAGGGATTTCTAGATGTCTTCAGAGCCTCTGATAGACAGGATAATTGTTTCTGAGTTAGGTCTGTAACTGTTCTCAGAAGCCTTGATTTGAGTTTATTGAAGGTCTGACCTGAGAGATTCCATGGAACAACAAATACAGTTGAACTGTGGGCCTGGGTGGCAATTCAGTTAAAAAGAATTTGCCCCTTAGGTGCATTTCTCATCTACCTTTGAATGAAGCACGTTTTGTCAAGTAAGGAAGAGTCTCTGGGAACAGAATCTTACCTGGAGAGAACCATTCCATGATTTGACTGAGTTTTTGAGCAGAGGCAGTGTAGTTCCCAGAGAGGAGCAGATTCTAGGTTTGCACAGCCTGTTCAGAATGAGTGAGATTTGAGAATGTTGCCACCTTCAGAATCCTTCAGGGCTGCCTAATGAAGGGAAGTCTGGACCAGGTTTCAGAAGAGAGGCATCTGGGTTGCACCAATGGAGGACAGTTAGGCTTCATTGGAGGCGCTCCAAGGACATGCAGGAAGGGGCCTTAAAACCAGATCTGAGTCAGTCTTGTCTCACCAATCCCAGCTCATCCCCCACTCTCTTTATTTTTCACTCACTCTTCCCAGATTCCGAGCTGTCTTTCACATGATGAATCTGACATTTAAAGGTGTGCGGATGAGTTCTTTATAGGATAGCAGTACAAGAAGAGTTTATTTTTCTTCCTAAAAGGTGAGGAAAAATTGGTGCTGAGGGTGTAAGTGAATTTCCCTGGTTTTGTGTTAGGGGCAGAGCCCAAAGTAGATCTTGAATCTCCCCACACCCAGGCCAGTGCTGACCACATCATCACTGTGGAAACACATTTCTTAAAAGACAGCCATTTCAGAGTGTACATCTATTTTAGAAAAACAATTAAAAAGTACCCTTACCTGAAAGTGCCTCCGTCCTTTTTTTTTCACAGCTTTGGTTGAGTTCTCTAATTTGGGGAGTAAACAAGGAAATATACATGTAACAACTTTTATTTTAAAACCTTTGCTGAAGGTGTAGTGTTCCTTCATTTAGCATATTGTCATTTGTTTAACCAATTTTCTGATTTTTAAAACTTCTTTGAAGTAGAATAAAGGGGTTATTATTTTAAACTATTTTAAAATATCAATATTGTAAAATATCAGTAGACAAGAGTTCCATTCACCCAGTGAAAAATTGCACACCCAAGCTTTGCATGGCCAAATCACAGTCACATGTGGACATGTGGGTGCTTTATCTTATGTCCTTTCCTGCCCCTTCTCCAAGGTGAAAAGGGTATAAAATGCCTATAGAGAGGCATTTTATCCTGGTGATGTTGGCGGCTTTTTAAGAAGGCAAATCCAGGAACTGCAAAGCAATCTGTATCTTTAATGACTTCATTCCTGTTTTTCTATCCCAGCTATACTTTCAGAGATTTCAACATTTTTCCAAGAAAGACCAGCAAATTATGAAGAAATCCTATGTGAGTTGTTGTTGAAGTCATTTTATGCTTTGTTTTAAAATGAATTTTATGAGGGTAACGACTCCTGTATTTTAAATGAAAAGTAGAAATAGATAAAATGAACCTGAGGGAATCAGCATGACACAATGGTTCTCAAACTTTAGTGCACATCAGATCAAAACTGGAAAGTTTATTAAACCATAGAATGGGACCCGAAAATTTTCATTTTGAACAGGATTGCAGGTGATGTTGAGGTCTATAGACCAGTAGCATTGGAGTAACAGATCAATAGGGCAAAGTTGACGAGACACACACACACACACACACACACACACAGTTCAAATGAAATTAGATGGTTAGCAAACTTAAGTTGCAATTATTTCTGACCTTTAGCCATGACCAAAAAAAAAAAAAAAGACTGTTACATTGATCATGCACCAAGCAATCTGACTCCATTTGGAGCCTAAAGACTTTCTGGCATTGAGAGGTGAATAAAACAACTTTTGTTTCTTTTATGTAGATGATAAACAACCTTCTGGTGGCAACCAGAATGCCTGTAATTATCTTTCAGTGGAAGCAAAAGACAAAGAGCAGAGCAGAGCCCAGTTAATTAGGTTTTTTAGGAGACAATGTTACTGAAGCCACGTAGACAGCTTTCCGATGATCTTGATTTATTTTTGTTTTTGTTTTTCCTTGATAAAACCTAGAGCTCCTGTAGGCTAAATGGATGGTGTGTCCTTAAAGTTACTCTGGAATTCTCAGTCCCTGGCAACCAGTAAAATACATTCTGTTGCTGTAGACTTGCCTCTTCTGGGTCTTTTATATAAATACAGTCAAATGATACGTATTTTTGTACGTCATTCTTCCTTCACTTAGCAGAATGCTTTAAAAGTTTGTTCGTATTGTAGGATGTTACAGACTTCATTTTCTTATCCAACTTTATTAAGGTGTATTTGACAAAACTCTAAGACATTTAAAGTGTACATCATGATGATTTTGATATTTGTATACATTGTGAAAGGACTCCTCCCGTCTAGTTAGCAAACATGTCCGTTACCTCACGTAGTTCTTCGTTTCTTCACATAGCAACTTTCTTTTTAATGTTTTATTATTAAAAACAATTTTTTTAATGTTTATTTTTGAGAGAGAGAGAGAGAGAGAGGAGACAGAGTTTGAGTAGGGGAGGGGCAGAGAGAGAGGGAGACACAGAATCTGAAGCAGGCTCCAGGCTCTGAGCTGTCAGCACAGAGCCCTATGTAGGGCTCGAACCCACGAACAGTGAGATCATGACCTGAGTTGAATTCGGAGGCTTAACTGCCTGAGCCACCCAGGTATCACTGGCATAGCAAATTTTAATTGTACAATACAGGGATACCAGCTCTAGTCCCCATGTTACACATTAGATCATCAAGCCTTCTTCATTTTATAGCTGAATGTTTGTGCCTTTTTACCAAGACTTCATTCCTTTTTATTGGTGAATAATATTCCATTGCATAGATGGACCACATTTTGTTTATCCACTTATTGGTTAATAGACATTGGGTCTTTTTCTGCCTTTCCACTATTGTGAATAGTGCTGCTCTGAATATTTCATGTGCAAGTTTTGCTTGAATACGTGTCTTTAGTTCTTCTGGGTGTTTACTCAGAAGTGATAATGCAGGACCATATGTTAGTTGTATTCTCACCTTACTGAGGAACCGCCAGACTTTTTCACAGTGGCTGCACAATTTCACATTTCCACCAGCAATGTATGCAAGTTCGTTTCTCCTCGTTGTTGACAACGCTTGTTGTCTTTTTATGTTAGCCATCCTAGTGGGTATGAAGTAATATCTCATTGTGGTTTTGATTTGCTTTTCCCTAATGACTAATGAGTACCTTTTCATGTGCTTGTTTGGTATTTGGATATCTGCTTTGCATGCATGTCTGTTCAAATCCTTGGCCCATTTTTATTATTATTATTACTCCTGGCACCCTTTATTTTTATTTTTTTCTGCATTATTCTTTTAATGTTTATTTTTGAGAGAGAGTGATTATGTGAGAGTGGGGGAAGGGCAGAGAGAGGGAGAGACAGAATGTGAATCAGGTCTGCACTGTCAGTGCAAAGTCTGACGTGGGGCTGGAACCCACAAACCGTGAGATCGTGACATCAGCCAAAGTCAGATGCTCAACCGACTGAACCATCCAGGCGCCCCTCAAATCCTTGGTTCATTTTTTAAATTGGATTTTTTGTTAGTATTTTGGGTACTAGTTTTTTAAAAATGTTTTTATTTTATTTTTTGAGAGACAGAGAACTAGTCAGGGAGGGGCAGAAAGAGAGGGAGACACAGAATCCGAAGCAGGCTCCAGGCTCTGAGCTGTCAGCAGAGAGCCTGATGCGGGGCTCGAACTCACAAACCACGAGATCATGACCTGAGCTGAAGTCGGATGCTCAACCGACTGAGCCACCCAGGTGCCGCATTGGGTACTAGACTTTTATCAGATGTATGATTTTCAAATATTTCTCATTCTGTGAGTTGTCTTTTCATTCTCTTGATGGCATGTCCTTTGATTCACAAAAGGTTATAATTTGGTAAAATCTGGTTTCTCTTTTTCTTTATTGAATTTGCCATTGATGTCTTGTCTAAGAATCCATGTCAAGTCTAAGATCATGAAGATTCGCTCCTGTTTTCTTCTAAGAGTTATAGTTTTTAGCTCTTACATGTAGGTCTTTGATCTGTTTTGAGATAATTTTTGTGTATAATATGAGGGAGGGGTCCATTTTCATTCATTTGCCTGTGGATATCCGGTTCCAGTGTCATTAGTTGAAGAGACTATTTTTTTTCTCCCACACCCCTTAGGCTTGTTACTGTTAGGTAAGGTGCAGTTTTGTTGTTGTGTAATGAATTTCTGGAAAGAAAGACTTTTTTGTAAAGACTGTATTTGCTCTATTTCATTACAGAAGTGTATTCCATTTACCAATGGTGAACTAGTAATTAAAAATTTTTTTAATGTTTTTATTTATTTTTGAGAAAGAGAGTGCGCACACATGCAAGTGGGGGAAGGGCAGAGGGAGAGAGGGAGACACAGAATCCAAAGCAGGCTCCAGGCTTTGAGCTATCAGCACAGAGCCTGATGCGGGGCTCAAACTCATGAACCGCGAGATCACGACCTGACCCCAAGTTGGACACTTAACCTACTGAGCCACCCAGGTGTCCCCCAGTGGTGAACTAGAGATTTTCTTAAATGCCTGGGGCCAACAAAACCAAAAATCTCTGAGTCCTTGCTGCTGGGGTCTAGGTGTGTTGGGTTATACCACCACCACCACCACCACCACCACCACCACCACCACCACCGGCACGAGACCAGGCCGTTGACAACTCTTCCCTCGCACTCACTTCCTGTTGGCGCAGAGCTGATGGCCACCAGAGGTGAGAGCCTGGGGCTTTATTGGGTCTTTTCTGAACATGCACCCTGTCCTGAATATGTGTGTCTTCTAGATTTCCAGGAACATGTGGAAGCTTTTCAGTCTCAAGCTATTCCACTCCCCAGCGTTTCTCGCCAGACTTTTTTGGCATGTCTTGTTCGCCCCACGCGTTATCTTTTGCCCCTGGTGGCAGCAGCTGGTTCATTTGCCTTCAAATGTTTTCAGTAGGTGCCCTCCCCGTATCCTGTGATGTGCGAGAGTTATATGAGTATTTTGCCTTAGTCTTTTCACGTCTCCACTAGACAGGTCAAAACAGACAGTCCCCATTGTTTGAGAACCAGCTCTGTTCTATTCTCTCCAGCACCAGGAATCCACACCAAGAATGTGGGATTTCATCTTCCAAGACTGTTGCTGAGCCAGTTCGTGGGTTGAATTGTGTCTCCCGAAAATTCATGTGTTGGAGCCCTAACCCCCGATACCTTAGAATGTGACCTTATCTGGAGGTAGGATCTTTACCAAGGTAATCAAGTTAAAGTGACATCATTAGGGTGGGCCCTAATATGGTATGACTGGTGTCCTCATCAAAGGGAGATTTGGACCCAGAGTTGCGTACAGAGGGAAGATGATGAGACACAGGGAGGCGGTCGCCTGCAAGCCCACGGAAGAAGCCTTGACCGGCTTCTTCCCTCACAGAAGGAACCACCTTGCCAGCACCATAGTCTTGGAGTCTAGCCTCGGCACTGCGACCGTAACTTTCTGTGAGGACAGCCGCCCAGTTTGCGTTCTTTGCTGTGGCGGCTCTGGCCCACGAGGGCCCCCTGCGAGGCTGAGGTGGAGCAAGGCTAAGTCAAAGCCACACGGGTCTCCTACCAGGTTTCAGCTGCCTTCTGTATCCGTCCTTCGGTAGGTGGTTGTCAACCTTTGCCTCTTTTCCGGAGGTCTGATAAAATTCATTCTGATGGTTGTTGCCATTGTTCTGATGTTTCTGTGGAGGGATGGACCCCGGGCGGTTCCCCGCTCTTACCTTCCTGACCCAGACCCGCTTCGGGGATCGTTTGCAGGGCACGAGTTGCTCGACCTCTGTGCCTGTGCTCTTGTGCGGTCCCTACTGCTGGCTCCTGTGACTCCACACAAGCCCCTTCCTCCTGTCAGTGAGATTTCCCTCGTGGAATCTTGACTTGGCAGACCATGTTTCCTATTACATTAATTTCCTGCTAGAGCTGTAACAAATTACCTCGGAGGTAGTGGCTGGAGCCGACACAGATTTGTCCTCTTACAGATCTGGAAGTCTGACGTCTGAAATGACTCTGACGGGGCTAAGGTCAAGGCAGTGGCAGAACAGGTATCTTCTGGAGGCTCTGAGGGGAGAATCTGTTTCCTTGCTTTTTTGGCGGGGTGGGGGGCGGGGGCTCTTGTGGCATCTTCCTCCATTTTCAAAGCACATTACGTCAATCACTGCCTTTTTGTCTTCACGTCGCCTTCCCGTCTGTAGTCCAGTCTCTGCCAGCTTGTTAGGACACCTGTCATTATGCTGCAGGCAAGATCTGGATAATCCAGGAAAATCTCTTTTCAGGATTCTTACCTTAATCGAATATGCAAAGCCCCTTTAGCCATGTAC